ACTGTGCTCTTTACTTGTCTATTGAATCTACAACAAAATGGTAACTCTTGACCCTGTTCATATGTTAGAATCATCTGCGGAGTTTAAATACACAGATTCTATCCCTAGAGGTTCTGGTTTCATTGCTCTGGAGTGGGACCCAGCATTCCCTCCTCACGCAGTAATTCTAGTGTACCATTGGGGCTGAGACCTTGAGACCTAGTGGGCTGTCTAGAATATGGAGTTGGTGAAGACAAGGATTGCCCTTAGGTAAGGAGACACCTTATGCTGACACTTGTGTAGACATCCAATCCTCTCCAAAAACAGAAAGGGATTGAGTTCTGTAAGCTTTTTAAAGCCTCAGAATCTTCATCTATGAGATGGTATCTGCTTAACAGGTAGATATCATTTTGTAGATGATATGAAATGTTAGGGGATTGAATGAGATTCTGAGTGTGGTGCTCCTATGTGCACTGTAGAAGCTCGGTTAATGCCTGTGGAAGGAATGATGTAGCAGCTGTGAAATCCAATTGTATTAAACCAAGAAACAAAGTAGACCAGTTGCTGTTGCCAATTTATGGCAACCTCACGTGTGGCAGAGTAGAACTGTGCTCCAGAGGGTTTTCAAGGATGTTACCTTTCAGCAGTTAATCCTGTGACTTTGAGCAATTCTGTTACCATTTCCCTGATGTGGCGCTGTGGATTAATGTGCCAGACTACAAAGCTGTTTGAACTGCAAGGTTGGTGGTTCAAGCTCACCAGCTGCTCCTTGGAAACCCTATACAGGGTCACTATGGATTGGGTTGGAATGGACTCCACAGAACTTAACAACAACAATAACAAATTTCCCTAAATTCCTTCCCGCTTCAAATGTTTATTATTCCCGACATCCTGGTTGGTGCTGTGGGCTAGGAATTGGACTGCTAGCTGTAAGGCTAGTAGTTCAAACCCACCGGTTGCTCTGTGGGCGAAAGATGAGGTTATCTGCTGTTGTAAAGATTCACAGTCTTAGAATCCCTAAAGGACAATTCTACTCTGTCCTATATAGGGTCACTATGAGTCAGAATCTGCAGCAGTGGGGTCATAGACAATAAAACAGTGCAAACTTATGTTGGTTTAGGTAAGTAGTATATATTCTGGTGTGGCACTATAGGATCAGCACTGGACTGTGAACACAAGATCAGCAGTTCAAATGCACCAGCTGCTCCTAAGAAACCCTATGTTGTTGTTAAGTGCCGTCAAGTCGGTTCCGACCCATGGCGACCCTGTACAGGGTTTCTGAGGCTGTAAATCTTTATCGGAGCAGAAAGCCTCATCTTTCTCCCGCGGAGAGGCTGGTAGTTTCAAACTGCTGACCTTAAGGTTCACAGCTCGATTCGTTACCACTATGCTACCACTAAGCTACTAGAGCTCCTTAGGGTCACTATGAATGGGAATTGACTCAATGGCACTTAACAACAACAAGTAGTATGTAATTTGAATTTAAAGTTTCTCATTTAAACTATCGTTTAAAATTGAGATAATTTTAATCTTTATCAAATGGAAAGAAAAGCTTTTTCATCATTTACCCATACTGAAAAATTATTAAGTTCTGAATTATTAACTTTTCTTCCTGTTAGAAATGAATCCTGATGTCACACACAAAACATCACTCGGTGAGACTAAATTACCTCAGCAAGGCAAAATTGACTTCTACAGAAGGGTGCTTGTGCGTAGCTGTACAGGAACAGGCCAGCAAGCACATGGAGCAGGCAGTCCACTGGGGTTTTTATCCCTGACCCAAGTCTTAAGGCTGTGTCTCACCCCACTGGCTAGGGCTTCAACCACACAGTCTATTTCCTTACCTGGTTGGCTAATTCAAATTTCTAAGGCATACATTCTTTTTATTCCAGGAAGCAGCAAAAAGTAAAAGGTCAGAGTCCCTACTTACTTCAGGAAGTTGTTGTTGTTAAGTGCCGTCGAGTCGGTTTCGACCCATAGCGACCCTGAACAGGGTTTCCAAGGCTGTAAATCTTTACGGGAGCAGATCGCCTCATCTTTCTCCCGCGGAGCAGCTGGTAGTTTCGAACTGCAGACCTTGCGGTTCGCAGCCCGATTCGTAACCAATACGCTATCAGAGCTCCTTAGCACAAAGTAAAAGAAAGGTCATACAACTCTCTACCTACTTCAGGAAGTAGCAAAAAGTAAAAGAAAAGTCACCCAAATACTTTAAACAGGATTACAATAATTTTGAAGAAAAGACACTCATTCCCACAATCTTAAAACAACTGTAGATTCTGAGGTGTTTTTTGAGACCCAGTGATAAATGTGTAATGATGATAATAGTTATTATTATTATCAATAGTTATCATTTCTAAGTGCTTTGTAAATGTTAACTTATTTGATCCTTGCAACAACCTATGAGGTATGAGACAGATGGGATATCCACTGAGAACCTGAATGGAGAAGGTTCCCGGGGTTCCCCATATCAGTTGAGAAGGTTCTCAAACCGTCATTAGCAGTGTTTAACCACACAACTGTGAGTCTGTGCAGAATCACAGCTCTCCAGCTGCTCCAAATGGCCTCTCACTCCTTCAAATGTGGTGCTCTTGAGCATTCAGATCCTGTCCTGGGTGTTTCTTTCTGTCCAGCTTGCATTTTCTTTGCAAAAGGCCAGAGCTGCCTCTGTGTTGATTTACTGGGGGCACCAGTAGACAAGAAAACAGCTCTGAATGTGGCTTCAGCATCTGCACCCCCAGGAGCCAGATTCCGACTTGATGGGGCTCCATGCTATGGGAACTAACAGTGGGGTTTAAAACCTGGAAGGCAGGGAGAAGGGCTGGATTGACAGGCTTGATGACTTGGAACCACTGCCATAGGCAAACCCCCATCATGTCTCCAGTTGGTTGCATTATTAGCATATCTTTGCATACTTAATTAATTTTACAAGCATCCCCTTTTAGGTAGAATTGTTGATTTTTTTTCTTTTCTCCAACACCTCCCCCATAAATATTGATCTTCTAAAACATGTCTGGTACTTAAAAAACTCCATGTGAACAGAACTTTTCTTAAATTAATGCTTATTTATGGAGTACCTACTCTGGTGCAAGAGTAGGGGAGATGGGGGAATAATATCTACATGGACCCTACCCTGAAGGGGCTCATGATCCCATTGGAATATCTGGGCAGGTGGCTCAATAGTCTATTTCAATAGACTGTTCCTACTAACAATTCCAGGTTAGATCATAGCATTAGTTCTCAAAGGTCTTGGTCCCAGACCTCCTTTACATTCTTAAAAATTTTGAGAACACCAATGAACTTTTGTTTATATGGATCCTTTCTATTGATATACACTGTGGTGTTGTTGTTAAGTGCCATAGAGCTGGTTTCAACTCATAGAGACCCTGTATAATTTCCAAGGAACGGCTGGTAAGTTTGAACCACCAACCTTATGGTTAGAACAGACCTTGAGATCCAGTGCTTATCCTACAGCTATAGCGCCACACCAGGACTCTGTATATACATTGTATATCAGACATAAATCAAAAGATAAATTTTAAAACACAAGAATACAGAAGCATAACAATCCATTAATTCTCAGAGCAGTGATATCACTGACTATCATGAATCTTCTGGAAAATTCTATCGTATGCACATGAGAGAATGGGAGTGAAAAAACAGATGTTGTTGGTAAGTGTCATCCAGTCTGCGCTGACTCATAGCAACCCTGTAAAGGGTTTCCAAAAAGGGGCTGGTGGGTTTTAATCATTGACTTTGAGGTTAGCAATCTGTGTTTATCCTACAGCTCCATAACAGGACTCTGAATATCATCTTAAAATTATGAAAAGAGTTTTGGTTTTGTAGACCTCCTGAACAAGTCTAGGAGACGCACATGAATCCTTGGATCATACTTTGAGAGTCAATGGGCTAAAGCCTCTTTCAGCATCGAGAATTTGAAGGCTCTAACAGTGAGTGCCTGGAAGTCTGTTGAAGACAAGATTGAATCCCTTGATCAATGACAGGAAAAGCTCATTTAAAAGATTCCTGGTAAATAATTACTAGAATGGGCAATACCAATTACTCAGGTAACAGTACCTATGGTTCTTCCTCTGGAAGCTCCTCATCAAAGACTTAAAGTCAGTAATTCTGAGCATGTCTAACGGAAATCAGGGAAACTCCCCTTCACAATGGGAAGTCCAGGGTCTATGGGGAACTCAGTCACCTTGTAGGGGATGGTGTGAAACACTAGGCTTGTGGGCAGCAGCAGAGAAAACCAAAGAGCAAAGGCCAATAGGCCCAGGAAGGGACTAGAAGCAGCTGTCTGCTCTCCCTACTTCCCCCAACCAAGGCAGCACAGTAGAACCCCTGGGAGATCAAAGAGCAAAAAGGCTGCTCCCTGGATTTAGAGAGAGGAGAAGAGCTGGAGAGATACCCAGAGTTCAAAGGGCAGCCCTGATGGATGAGGTCCTGATACACACAATGACATAGCCAGGAGGGAAACAGGAGAGTGATGACAGATGAAAAGATGACAGCCAAGAAAACTCTATGGAGCTCAGTTCTACTCTGACACACCTGGGTTCACCATGGGTTAGAATCTACTGGACGTTTGTTTTTTTACCTTATGCCAGGAGCCCCAAATGAATAAGACAGGTAGAAATCCCTGTTTAGTGGCAGCCAAGTGTGCTATCCCAGAGTAGCGTGGTGGTGGTGGTTATGTGCCATGGAGTCAATTCTGACTCATAGTGACCCTGTACAGGGTTTCCAAGGTTGTAAATCTTTACAAGAGCAGAAAGCCTCATCTTTCTCCCACGGAACAGCTGGTAGTTTCAAACTGCTGACCTTGAGGTTCGCAGCCCGATTAATAACCACTACGCTACCAGAGCTCCTTAGAGTAGGGTAGGACTTCTAATAAAGCAGCTAAGAAAATGTCAGGGGCCATAAACAAAACAAGTCTATCTGGTTTCAGAGAATGTTGGCAATTGGGAATGATGTTTCACTCTGCCCATTTCTGATGTCGGCTTGTAACCACGCTTTCCTTCTAGGTGTACGAACTGAATGGGGAGACCCACGATAAAGAATGGAGTGTGAGGACTTACAAGGAAGTGGCTGAGCTATTTGCAAAGGATCATCCTGAATTTATTGGACTCAAACTCATTTATTCAGACAACAGGTGAGAGAATCTTAATTGATGCTGCAAGAGTTGTGAGTATGGTATGTAGGCAGAAACCAGGCTAGGAAGGGAGAGGAGGGGAGGCAGAGGGCAGGGGCTGGAAGTCTAGGAGTCAGACATCTTGATGCCAGGCAGCCAGAGGCTCAGTGTGTGCATTTGTGGGTGAGTTCACAAAGTGATTGTATGTCCCTGACATCCCCTCTAATTTGACTCTCCACAGCTAAATGCAAATAAAGAATGGCAATATTCCAGATGATTCTAGGCCCCACATTGTAACCAAACCTTCTCTGATTCTGGTCCTGTCATATTTGCCACTTGAAACAAGATGGACACCCATTGCAAATAAAGCAGCACAGTACCTAATGACCTGAAAATTTTGAGCTCCACAGCAGAAAAGTGGGGAAACGTTTTTAAGGGGAACTTGTTCAAGATTTAGGGGGAGTTTCCCTCCTAGTTAGAGTATCCACTTGCTAAGTCATTTGTGGCCAGGCATCCTGATGAATGAGCCCCTCATTTTTCAAGTGGTTCTGGGTGGGCAGGTGTATCATAAAACAGAGGTCCTTCCAATGAAAGATCATTCTGGAATCATTGCCCTGTCCTGGAGTATGTCTCTCAAAACCCACAAGATCAACCAATTCCTAGGTGGAGCCCATCATAGGATTTGGAGTGAGGGGTTTGATATGGACCTGGGTGACTTACTGTGGGCACGCTGGATATTTGGATAATTGGCCTATTTCTTGGTTTCTATTTGACACTGGGTTCCATCAGTTGTCTCCATGCGTGTGTGGTTGAGGGCAAGGCTCTCAAGGGCAGGGTTGCTGGTTACAACTGGCTCATCCTCAAGTGTGGAGAATTCACAGCAGTGATACGTGTGTGTGATTTGATGGTATAAAGATAGACGGGGACACTTCCCAAAGGCAAGCACAAAAAGCTATACAGACTACATTTTCCTATAGAGCTTACTCCTTGTGTGAAAGTAACTAAACTAAGGCCTCTTACTTGTACACATCCGGGACACAGAGGTAACAACCAAATGAGGTCACTCCAGTTGGGGCAGGGATGGGGCATGGCAGATAGCAGTAAAGCCTCCATTCACTCAGCCCTCCCATGCAACGAGGAGCCCCTGGGTGGTGAAAACTGTTAAGCACACAACTACTAACTGAAGTGTTCACAGTTCAAACCCACCCAGAAGTGTCTTGGAAGACTAGGTCTGGTCATCTTCCTTCAAAAGATGACAGCATTGAAAACCCTGTACATCTGGGGCCGCTGTTAGTCAGAATTGAATCGACAGCAGCTGGCGTGTAGTTGGCTTTTGTTTTCTCACGGGACCGGCTCTGCAGCAATCAGATGACTTCACCCCTCCTTGTAGGGGTTTGGGGGCCTACAGGAGTGAGACCCTGCACTAGGACACTCATCAGGACTGCACGGCGTGTGTGTGTATGTGTGTGGCTGTGTGCGCAGGTTGGAGCCCAGGTAATCCAACTTAGAAGCGTCTTGTTGCCAATGGCCCCCTCCCTGGACCTGAGGATAAATGGTTTTTTCATGCTTCCTAATGGACCTAGAAAGGAGCTCTGGTAGCGTGGTGGTTACAAATTGGGCTGCGAACCGCCAGGTCAGCTGTTTGAAACTACCAGCTTTTCTGTGGGAGGAGAATGAGGCTTTCTGCTCCCATAAAGATTTACAGCCTCGGAAACCCTATACAGGGTCGCTATGAGTCAGGACCGACTCCACAGCACATAACCAGCAAAATGGACCTAGAGGAGGGTGGGCAGCAGCTAGGGAACAGGATAAACTTAGTCCCATGGAATTGAGCAGAGACTTTTGTCCTATCATGGAGTTGTGCCAAACTTTTGTCTTTGGTGCTTTTGCTTTTGTGCTGATAGCCTCATCTCTAACCTGGACTTGAAGGGAGAGAGGGTGTTAAAGGGAGTAAGAGAGCTTGGTGATGTGACGCTGGAGGGCTCAGAGCATTGCTGATTGAACCAGTGAAAGAAGACATATGGTTACCGGGTCCTGCTGATCTGTCAGGAGCTTGAGTGACCTGTGACATTTCATAGGTGTCTGGTGAATGATGTCCATGCCCAGGAATCCTCTCAGGAAGGCAGGGCAAGTTTTAGACAAGGTTACTGTGCTTCATCCAAATGGAAACAAATCCCCACTCATAGGCTCCCTTACCATGCCTTCTACTCTAAGGTGATGGGTCCCTCTGGAGTCAGCTGAGGTCCTCAATAGAGACGGATTGCGGAACTATTTCACAGGCAGAATCATTTAAAGGGATCCCCATAGCCTGGGGGACAGGGTCATATAGAGGGTGGTACTGAGGACTTGGGAAGTGGTTATTGTACCCTTGGATGGAACAAGACAAGCGCCAGGAGGGAATCACTCCACAGCTGAAGTACTCCAAATCACATGTCTCTGTACTTTTCTCTCTCTCTCAGATCCAAAGATGTATCTCTCATCAAAGAATCCATCCAAACCGCCATGGCACTTCATACCTCTTTCCCCAAGACGGTGGCAGGGTTTGACCTGGTAACCTGGGCTCATTTACTCCCAGTTCTGTGTACAGAAGGGTCAGGCATGCAGCTCTTCATGAAGGGACCCTCTGAAGAAGCTCAGGGCTGGCCATAGGCCTGGTGGCCAGAGTCCCCAGCTGACCATCTATAGGGGATGACAACCACAGGATGAGGGAGGGCAGAAAGAATCCCACAGCTGTAAAGGGAAATTCCAGAATAAGGAAGGAAGTGACAGAGAATAAGTTAGAGCTAGAGCCCCACTCCCCTGGCTTCTGATCCCTATTCTAGCCCAAATTGCCCACCTATGTCTGACACTTAAAACCATACCCAGTGCACACAGTCTTATCAGGGAAGAGAGCCTAAAATGGTACTAATCCCGGGCACAATTGTCAAGGATAGAAAATTTGTCCCCTTCCTCCTCTTCTTCATTTCCTTCGCACCTTAAATTTTTCTTTCTTTTTATTGTAATAAATAAGTTATATTTATTGTTGCTAAATGTTGACTCATAGCTCCTGTTTAGGGTTTCCGAGACGTGACTGGTGGATTTGAACTGCCAAACTTCAAATTTGCAGTCTAATTCTTATCCTATATCACCACACCAGGACTCTGATAATATAAGAAGAGGGTTCAAAATTGTTATGGAAAAATGGCATTAAAAGCTAATGGAATGTTTCCATGAACTTTTTGAAGTCCCTTCCTATACGTAACATAAAAGTTGTCATTGTAAACCATTTTAAAGTGTACAATTCACTGGTATTGATTATATTCACAATGTTGTGCAACCATCACCACCATCTATTTCCCAACAGAAACTCCTTAAGCAATAACCCCCACCCCAGCTATTTTTGAAGCTACACATTCATAGATGTTGCGCTGCACCCCCATAGCCCAGCCAATGCCTTACTCTAATCATTTAATTAATTTAATTCAGACATCTAAATTAATTTTGAGTCTCTAAAAGGCAGTCCTGACTCCTTTTTAGATAACATGTACATTTCAGCTGAGACTGTACGTAGATGAGCTCTGGTAGTGCAGTGGGTCAAGTGTTGGCCTGCTAAGTGCAAGGTCAGCAGTTCAAACCTACCAGCTGTACCCTGGGAGAAAGATGAGGCTATGTGCTCCCATAAAGATTTACAGCCTTGGAAACCCTAAAGAACAGTTCTCCTCTGTCCTAGATGGTCTCGATGAGTTGGAATTGACTGATGGCAGTGGATTTGATACTTAAATTTATGTCTTCAGACCAACTAGAGCCCAAAGGAATGAATTTTGGGGAATCCTTTCAGTTTGGCTTAGGCTTCCCTCTTGGGATTGTTGGGAATGCTCCAAGTATCTGGAGATGAGGTCCTCCCATCTCTTCTCCCTCTGTGTGGGACGCTTACTTGGGCCAAAGTGGATTTAGAACCTAGAAGAGCTCCTAGCACCCGTTTCTGAAACAGCCCATACAAGAACATCTAATGTACAAGGACTCATAGGGACTTTGGGGTTGGAGGCAGACAGATGGTTGTACAAAGGAGTCCACTTGTAAACTCTAAGTTCTTTCAAGTATGTACTCCATTCTGCTCCAATGAGCATCCATGTCTGGTTAACAATAAAACTGTGTCATTCATTCCCTGCCACACCTTCTACCCACACCAATGAGAATTGGTGTTCTGTAGGAGACAAGCTTTTCATCCTGAAGTACCCTATTCCCAGCACACAGCTACCTACCAAGCCCTGCAGGTATGTGCAACTTCCTTTGAAAAGCAGGACTTTGGTCAGTGTTGCTTTTCATGTTACAGCTGAGCAACTGAGTCACAGAAAGGGGACCACAGGTGATGGATGGCTGAGCTGCACCACCGAGGTCCTCCTGACTCCTGGTCTATCTCACTGTGCCCGTGTCTCCCTCTTCTTCTGTCTGTCTATCCCTCTGTCTCTGCCTCTCTCTCCCTTCTATTTCTCTTGCTCTCTCCTTCTCTTCCTTGCTCTGTCTCTCTGTTTCTGTCTGTCTGATTCTCTCCCTTTATCTCCCATCCCCAGTCTCCACCCCCGCTCCAGGCTGCTGCTGAGGTGACAGGAAAAGACAAAGTGGGTGGGAAGGCTTGGGAGCATAGAAGGAAAGACTCTGAAGGGGGGAGAAGTAATTTCAGAGCATTATTGTACTTTATTCTCTTATGCAACTCTACTACCAGTCATTCTTAACAGGCAGTGGGACCCAGGGCCCATGAGGTAGTGTAAGGAGAGTGGTTTTAGACTGCAGGGTACACCTCAGCAAAGGGAGGCATGCACCAAGCAGTTACCTCCATGTCCCCTCTTCTCCATCCTGCAGGTGGGACGTGAGGACACTGGCCACACCTTGTATGATTACAGGGAGGCTTTGCTGATTCCAACCATGGAAGGTGTTAAACTACCATATTTTTTACATGCTGGAGAGACAGGTGAGCTGATACATGGGAGACAGAGGGCAGAAGAGGTGGTAGACACAATACTGGGGCAGTAGTTCCAATAGAACCTTGTTCGAATCGATAGTTGTTGCATTTCCTTATTCAACTCCAACTCAGGGCAATCTCAGATGTGTCAGAGTTGAGCAGTGTGCAACAGGGTTTTCAATGACTGATTTGTTGGAAATGGATTTCCAAGGCTTTCTTTCGAGGTGTCTGGGTAGCCTTGAACCTCCAATCTATTGGTTAGCAGCCAAGAGTGTTGACCATTTGTACTGTGCAGGGACTCCATAGTTGTTTTATCGCCTTTTCACATCCACGTGTGGAGCCCTGTTAGTGCAGTGATTAAGCACTCGGTTGCTAACAGAAAAGTTGGTGGTTTGAGCCCACCAGCTCTCTATAGGAGAAAGATGGCAGTTGGATTCCACAAAGATTTATAACCTTGGGAACCATATGGAGCAGTTCTATTCTGTCCAATGGGGTTGCTATGAGTCAGAGGTGACTCTACAGCAACAGGTTTCATAGGACAATCTGTTAGTCCTAACAGCAGTTCCATGACAAAGGAATAACTATGTTGTTGTAGTTGTTTAAGTGCCTTCAAGGCAGTTCTGACTCATAGTGTAAGGATTTCTGAGGAGGAGCTGGTGGGTTTGAACTGTTGACCTTGTGGTTGGCAGTCCAGTGCTGATCCTACAGTGCCACAGGAAGACTCATATGTATATTGATATTCATTTCTCTTCCTTTTATTATTTTTTTTCAAAAAGAGAAAAAATCTTTGATAAGAAAGTAAAAAAACAAAACTAAATCAATCAACCAACCAACCAACCAGTGAGTTTACATAATACATCCCTTAACCAGCAATGGTAATTCTTGGGTCTTGCTTCTAACTGAACAATCGAGTTTTCATATTTTACATATAGCTCAGTTAGGATGCTTTTGGCTGTACAGAGTGGAGTGAGCACATATAAAGCCCTTAATTATCGCACATAAGACATAATCTTGGCTATCCTCAATGAGCAGGTAATTTTGTCCCACTTGGTCATGAGATGGTAAGTGACATTCAGGAATGACCATATCAGGGAAGTAAAAGAGCAGACAGTTCCCCTCACTCTTGTCTTTTTATTAGGGAGGAAGTTTCAGAAGTCCCCCCAGCAGAATATCTCAGAGGTCAGTGTTCCAGCTGCCTTAGCTGCAAGGGAACCAGGAAGTTCAGGAAGTGGCATTTTCACCCTCAAAAGAGGGTTCTGCCAACAAGAAAGGTATAGGGGGAGATGGCTGGGCAGTAGGCAGCCAACAAACAGCATCTGATGCAGCTCAGTTAGCATTGGTAACCATGGTGATCTTGATCTCATAGACATGATCAAGTCAACATGCAGAGATAATAATACTGCCATTATGTGCAGGTATAAGAATCTGCAACATTTTGTTGCAAAATTCCTATGCATAAAATTAACAGCAAAAAACAAATTGCTATGGAAAGAAACTAAAAAGGAAAAAATAATATGGACTTGAAACCTAGTTGTGAAACTTGGGTCAGACAGTCTAAGGCTTAAAAACCCAGTTTTGCTACTTACTAGTGTAGTGTTCTCAGTCCATTTATAAAACTTACCTAAGTTACAATTTTTTCATCTGGTATTGTTAAGTGCCGTGGAGTTGTTTCCGACTCACAGCGACCCTGTATAAGATTTCTGAGGAGTAGCTGGTGAGTTTGAACTGGTTACCCCTACCCTCAAAAAAGGGGGGTACTGTACATTTCTTTATCATTATTATAGGATAAAGTTATATCCCTAAAGTTGTTGTTGTTGTGTGCTGTCGAGTCAGTTCTGACTCATAGCAAGCTTGTATAGAATTTCCAAGTGTGGTTGGTGTGTTTGAACTACCAGCCTGTGGTTACCAGTCCTGTGCTTCTCCTACAGCACCTCAGCAGGACTCATGTGTATACTGATGTTCATTTCTCTTCCTTTTCTTGCTGGGGGTGGGACCTGGATCCTTTATGTGAGGATGGTCTGTGGGTGAGATCCAACCCTATTGAACACTATTTTTCCATCCCCAGACTGGCAGGGTACTTCCATAGACAATAACCTTCTGGATGCCCTGATACTGAACTCCACCAGGATTGGACATGGATTTGCTTTAAGCAAACACCCAGCAGTCATGGAAGATTTACGGAAGAGAGACATCCCCATAGAAGTCTGTCCCATTTCCAACCAGGTGTGTATGATATATGGTGCTAATCCAATATGACCTTTGCCCCCACCCTCAATCTGCCATGTTTCCCCAGCTAGCTTTCTTCCTCCATAATTCACTTGTTTTCTATATAGCTCAGCTTTCCCACCCCTAAGAGTAAATTTTTTTTAGAAATGACCTGTTGTCTAAATCACTCGTAATAATGAGGCAGCAATGAGAGTCTCCACAGGGTTGGAATTTTGGGCCAAAGTGTGGGCAAAGCTAGAGTGGAGAGGCAAGGGCAACATCCTATTGCTGCTTCCAACAGTTAGTTTCCTGGATCCTTTGAGCACCCATCTATCTTGCTGTTCCCAGCAGGACCAAGAGAAAGTGGTGATACCTCAGGCAGAGCTTGAGGACTTGATCTAATTTCTTCATGTCAGAAGTTATCCCAATATTCAGACTGGTAATGGGGATAAGAAAGAAACTAGATAAGAAGAGAGGGCATATGCATAAGAACACCCACACTTGCAGATAATACCCACTTGACCTGGCTTCAGAGACTGGATGATCAGAGCTCAACTAGAAGAAGAAAGAAGAGGGAAAAAAGAGTAATGTGATACAATTTGATGTACTTGACCTACACCTATGGATGCAGTAGCTCAAAAGAGGAAACAAATCTTTACAGCGAGGATCATTCCCACCCTCTCCATACACAGAGTAGACAAGGATGTGCAACTTGGATATTGGCTATCCAAAATGGGGTGGGGTGGGGG